GCTGTTATTATTCTTATTAGTAGACCATTATTCTTATCATTGCGATTTCTGATTAGTTTTATTACTACTACTACTACTACTCCTGCTGCTGCTGCTGCTACTGCTACTACTGCTGCTACTACTACTACTACTGTTACCAGCACCACTACTTCTGCTCTTATTCGGTAGGGACCGCGGGATTAACTGACCCCGTCGTTAGCAAGGAATAAGGGAATGGATCCTCAGCGTAGTCCCGATAATATGCCGGATAGCAAAGTAGGTTCCATTTACTTTTCTCTTCCCGAAACCCTACATCTGATACCCTAAGCTGTCTGGCCTAAACCCTAAGTATCAGCTTGCATTTATTCCATTCCTTCAATCCCTGCTAACCAAAGAATTTCAAACCCCAAACCCCAAGGCAAGTTAATGCTTAATGCCAGACCCCCTAAAGGATCCAATATGGAACCCGTTAATAATCTCCTAGGTTCCCCAATGTAGCAATGGAGCCATTTGGGGGGGTGGGGTTCCATTTTTGGGATCCTTGAGGGGTCTGGGATGCTTACTCAGTTCCATACTCTGGTTCCCCAGCAAAGGCCACGGTAGTCCATGGACGCCCAGCGTGTCGAAAAGCAACAAACGGTTGCTGGCGGGCGGCGTTGTAACTAAAAACTTGTTAGAGTCTGTTAGAGGAGCATAGAGGAGGGTGCGCCCTAGGGGTCCAGGTACTAAAACCGTATGCAAGCATGGGCTCCTGTATCAACGGTTTAATCTACTTTCTATCTTTTAGATAAACTTATTGAGATGCATTTGCGGTTTGCATGTTGGGTTCGTGGAAAATATTTCAAGGTACCCTAGAGTTTGCTACTGAAGCATATCCCCTGAATAAACGCGTTTTGATCCCGCTGGAACAGGATCTCGGCTGTTTATGGCAAGCGTCAGAACAAGACTGCGTCAATTTTAGCTTTCTGCTTCGGCCACGCTTGGAAATAGCTGCCCGCAGCCAAAAATTGGGATCCAAGACATACAATGTAAAAGGCAACATAGTCACACAATATGAATTTGAGGTCTGTTTGAGGTACCCTATACCATAGTTAGACCTGGGGATTTTCCAGAATTAGGGGTACCATTTTGAGGGGGTCCCTATAATAAGGACTGTACTATTTTGGGGGTCTATAGGGGTCCCCCCCTATTTTGGGAACAATAACACATCTACAAGATTCTGTATTAACCTCCTGCTGGGCTGATAACATCCAAGAGCCTTGATCCGTAGATGGAAGCACGAGTGCTTTCTCCATATTAGTCATAGTCTAAACCCCGTAGAGGGGATTATATAGGAGAGCATTATCGGGGTTACTAGGGGGATGCTAGCAGTTTAGACTATAACTCATGTAGAATACAACCTGTTGTAGCTCGAGCGTTTTCCAACCTAGCACTGAACCCTCAACCCTGACGCTCAATTCCTAAAGCCCTTTTCCCAAACCCGAAGACGAGTGTTTTCCTACCTAGTGGAAATCAAACAGCCTGTCATGTACGGGCTCGCTGTTGATGGACCAAATCCTGCATGACCCTGAGTATACTGTAGCACCATTATTCTTAGGGATTTGGTATATCAGGTCATGCAAGATTTTGTCCATCAACAATTCTCAACACCAGTACCACAATTCTCAACATCAGTAAGTCTAGAAGGTGCTCTGATGTAGCAGCAAGGGAAGAAACAGGATACTATTATCTGGGGAACTGTCAAAATTATGTCCCTTTCTGGGTCCCTATTATAATACGGGACCTAATACGGGGCCTAATTTAGGGGACCCAAAAAGGGACCATAATTTTGACAATCCCCCATCTGACTCTGGCAGATAGGACCGCCGCGTCACGACAACGGGCTGCAAAAACAACTCCTGGGAATCTTGCTGCCTGGATGCATCGGCACATGCTCAGACTCATTAACGTTAATGGAAGAATCTTAAATACCTTGTACGATGCAGGGGGTATTCTGAGTGGGTCAGAGGCTCCCTCCATCCACGATACCACCAAGATTCATATGGGGGCCTAAACCCTAAAAACCAAAACTTTTAAACCATACAACCTCAACTTTGAAACCCTAAGTACCTAAATTCTTGAACCCTAAAAACCTAAACTTTTAAACGCTTAAACACTAAACACCTAAACTTTAAAACCCTAAGCCCCAAAGGCGCTATAGACATCCATCCCCCCCATTCCCCGCAAACTGCCCCGGGAGCCTTCTCGGAATTACCCGTACAGTGGGGCGGTGCGGCAGCAAGTTCGGCCTGCTGCCGCTTAGGGTTTAGGGTTTAGGGATTAGGGTTTAGAGTTTAGGGATCAAGGTTGTAGGGTTTAGGAGAGAGAAACAGAAAGAGACATAAGTGTTTCCAGAATGGGGGCCCCAATACATGCTCTAATACTGTAGACTACAATCCTTTTAAAGAAGGCTTCCCAAAAGTGGGCCTCCAGTTCCCTAGTTCAAGAGCAACAGAAGGAACATATTAGGAGGAGCCCCCACTTTGTAACAGTAGTATAATAAGAATATAAGAGGACCTCAATATAATCCCTATTATCCCTTGTAGTCACTATTACTGGGTGGGGGGTCCACCTAAGGAATATATAACATGGCCCTTTGTAATTCGGCGCCCAAAGTTGAACCATGACTTGCATCCTACCATGATATCTTCTATTAGTTAACATGCGGATGTCTCAAGCAAGCCTGCCATAACTTTTCGATTGCCCGATCCCTAGACTTTAAACCCTAAACCCTCTAGCCCATGTAAACTTACCACTGCGTATGGTTCCCAAATTTTCCTAATGACCAAATTTCACAAGATCAAGCTCAAAATCATGCCCAAACCTTAAGTTATGGGAGTAGGCCCTAAACCCTAAGCCCTAAACCCTAAACCCTAAACCCCGGAGTAGGCGAATTTGGCAAACCCAGGAAGTGAGCCTTTGTCGAGGCGAGCGGATTCAGGGCTTAAGGGGCTTTGGGCTTGAGGTTTCTAGGGTTAAGGGTCTACACTCCCCCAAACTAACATGGAAACCCATATAGTCCCCTTTTAGAAGGACTGTAGTCTTTACAGGGCCCTTTTTGGATTTCCATGTTAGTTTCCGGGAGT